CGGCAACAGGATCAGTCTCGACGGGGTAGGGCACTTTGCGCACGGCTGTCGGGGCGTCGCAGTGGATGTGCCATTGGACGCTGTCTTGTCTTCGGCCAGGATATTGGCCCCCCTACCTAGAGCACGCCGACCGAAGACAGTTGCCCACGCAAGTTCCATCGCCGCGCGCCAGAAAAAGGGCGATCGCTTCTCGACGGGTGTCTTCTGAAGGCGCAAGATGTGCCTCCACGCAGTCGCTGTCCATTTCTTGTGGGTACGGATACAGACGCGTAAATCAATGCTACCTTGACGTCGCATTGCAGGATCGCAGAAGTCGGAGGCTCGCAGCTACTCCACTGACGAGAGGCTCGCCATCAGTCCTGGCACCGACCGGTAGACGTTAGAAAGATGTGGTTCGTGCGTCGCTCCTGGGCCACAGTTGAAGTGCCGACGCCACTTCTGCAGCAGGTGAGTTTGCGCTGCCGCGTCTCCCTATGGAACGACGCGATTGAAATCGCAAAAGTGCACGCGTGTTGTGCAGATGGCAATCAAAGACATCTAGAACACGAAACACCCTGCATGTCTTTTGCGCTGTGAACGAAGCAGCCGGTTACACCAGCAATTGCCGGATGTATCATCCACGCGGCTGGAGGTGGCGCATCTGACCCACGCACTTCGGCCTCGGCCGCCGCCGATGGGTAGGAGTTAGAACGCGCATCCAGTCCTTGTCGCGTTGGCGCGATAGCGCCGGGCAGGGGCATATCGCGCGCGCGTTGTTTTTTCTTCTCTTAAGTTGACGACGGCGAAGAGCGACTGAAACTGCGGCATCACACCCACGCACTGTTGTACAAACCAGTCGCAGTGGCGTTTTTTCTTTTCGGCTACATGTTCTCCGAATAGTTCCCGAAGGACAGGAACGCCGCTGCGACTCAGCATCGCTGGGATCATCGCCATGGTTCCGAAAAGAACACAAGGGAATATAAACGCTCTACAAGAAAACATTCGAAACGCTTCGTGTAGCTAGCATGTCTGAAATCTAAGCACCCGTGACGTCTCTGAAGCCGTCCTTTCTCGAGGTCGCCCGCGCGTTCGGCTTCGGAAATGCATCAATTCACGCACCGCGGCCATCTAATATTCAGAAATCAACCATTCAATTCAGCTCAATTTCCAGTTTTTTTTTTCCTGCAGCGCATGACACATTGAACATCCACTTCAGCTCTTTATTTCAGGGTCACACAGCGCACAAAGGAAGATTTTAGTCGCCCGCTTCTTTTTCTGTTTTTGTTTTTCTTCACGTAAGCCTGACTCAACAGATTTAGAAAGACTCAGTCGGGTTAGCATAGTACGAAGGTGATGGCGTGTGCCGGCCCTGACGGCGACGCACGGTTCGCCGCGTGCATGAACTTGCAGAGTGCGGTTGGATAGCACACGTGGACATCGGTCATTGCCTGGATTCTGGAGGGCAGTGGCGATGAACTCCGGGCGGGCACGCAGAAACGCGCCCAAGCTGCCGAAACACTTGGCGCTGATTGTCCCACACATCAGATGTCGCTCGCTCATTCAGTTACCCAAGGACGACCACGGAGTGTCAAAACCTCCCTCCGTTCCTGGGCGGCTGCAAGAGAACCTGCCTTCATGCTAGGAAGCGGTTCTTTCAGAGTCGCGCAGGGGCAACCACGAGTGCTCCTGCTGCCGGAGTGCAGTCGCCGACTGCCCCTGCGCGACTCTACAAGCGCTGTTCCGTTTTAGCTGTCGCCGAACATAGCAGCCGGCGCCAGGAACTGCAAAAGACAGTAGTCGATTGTCCTGGCCAGGAAGTGAGTGCTTCTTGGCGGCACGTTCAGTTTTTTGTTTTTGTTTTTTAATTCCGGCGGTCCGGCTCAGAACAATTTCTTCGGCGTAAGAAATCTTGCGGGGAAATTGTTCTTTAGGTTGAGGTTGCCGCACGATCGATCCATTTGCTTGAGTCCCCTTGAAATCGAGGATAGAGGTGGAGTAGGTGACCCGATCGATCGGTCCATCGATCGGCCCATCGGGCAATTTGTTCAAGCTCTCTTGAAGTAGGGATATGGTAGGTGACCCGGTCGATCGGAGTTGCGGATACGTCGAGCTATGTCCATCAGGACCCAGCCATGCCAATCGGTGCCACTTTTTGATTGATATACGCATGCTTTGAATTTGATTTGCGCGCCTAGTCAACCTCAACTCAACGCAGCTCATACTTGCTCAGCTCAGCTAATCCCAGCTCAGCCTAGCTCAGCTCAGCTCAGCTCAGCTCAGCTCAGTTGTTTCTCTCTCGTCTTTCCTGCCGTATCCTCTCATTGTATTGTCTGTACCTATGTAGGTTCTGGCTTGCTCGTGGCGCACATGTGCTCAACGCATGAGCAAGGGCCTCGTTGCAGAGGCGGATGGGTGCATCTTAGCCGAGCAAGAATCTTTATCTTCGTCCTCGTCCTCTCGGTTATGGTCGTCCTCGTCGCCGGTCCCATCCTTTTCTTCCCCTCCTCCTTCTGCTCAGCCTTCGGTGCGGTCGCTCCTTCTGCTCCTCTTGGGGTCGTTTAGAACGTGTGCGGCTGCACTCCCTGAGCCTTGCGCCTAAAGGGGGTATTTCCTGGAGCTTCATCTTCGCAAGATTCTGCAGGCGTGCAGAATCTTGCGAAGATGCCGCACCAGGAAAGTACGAGAGTCGGAACTCTCCTTGTTCCAGTGTCGATTTGTGAAGTGGAGGCCGGACCTCGAAACGATCCGGCTGGGCTTCTGCCGAGCCCTGGCCAACTTCAACGTGCAGACATGGGGCCACCGAGCCGGTTCTCCAGCCAGGAGGCCAGTCAAGAGATGTCTTGTCTCCGTGACGCACACGTCTATAGTAAATTACGTATACGACCACCCTTCGGGTGATAAGGAGGTTCGGGGGAGGAGGGGCCAACGTCGCACTCGATCGATCTCACGATCGATCTCACTATCGATCTCACCCGATCGATCTCACTCGATCGATCTCACAACCGATCTCATCATCGATCTCACTCGCCCGGTCTCACTATCGATCTCACCATCGATCTCACAATCGATCTCACTATCGATCTCACTGTCGACCTCACTATCGATCTCACTTTCGATCTCACTCGATGGATCTCACTGTCGATATCGCCATCGATCTCACACTCGATCTCACTATCCCTCCAACTATCGATCTCAGTCGATTTGCATGTAGTTTCCCGTGTAGATTTGCTTGTAGATTTGCATGTAGATTTGCATGTTCGATTTACATTGTCGACGATGTGCATGTCGATGCGCATGTCGATTTCCATTTCGATTTGCACTTCGATTTGCACTTTCGATTTGCATGTTCAATTTGCATTTTGATTTGCATGTCGAATTGCATTTTGATTTGCATGTCGATTTGCATGTTCGATGCGCATTGTCGATTTGTACTGTCGATTTGCATGTCGATTTGCATGTCGATCTGCATTTCGATGTGCATTTCGATTTGCATTTTCGATTTGCATTTCGATTTGCATTTCGATTTGCATGTCGATTTGCATTTGGATTGCATTTCAATTTGCATTTCGATTTTCATTTTCGATTTGCATTTTCGATTTGCATGTCGATTCGTATTTTCGATGCGCATTGTCGATTTACATTTCGATTCGCATTTCGATTTACAGTTTCGATGCACATTTTCGATGCGCATTTTCAATGCGCACCACTGTCGATTTGCATGTCATGTCGATCTGCATGTTCGATTTGCATTGTCGATTTGCACTGCCGATTTGCATTTCGATTTGCATTTCGATTTGCATGTCGATTTTCATTTCGTTTTGCATGTCGATTTGCATTGTCTATTTTCATTTCGACTTGCATGACGATTTGCATTTCGATTTGCATTAGCGATGCGCATTTCCGATTTGCATCTACGATTTGCACTGTCGATTTGCATGTCGATTTGCATGTCGATTTGCATTTTCGATTTGTAGTGTCGACTTGCCTTGTCGATTTGCACGTCGATTTGCATGTTTGATTTGCATTTTCGATTTGCATGTTCGATTTGCACTGTCGATTTGCATGTCGATTTGCATGTCGATCGGCATTTCGATATGCATGTCGACTTTCATTTTCGATTTGCATTTCGATTTGCATTTCGATTTGCATATCGATGTGCATTTCGATTGCATGTCGATTTGCATTTCGATTTGCATTTTCGGTTTGCATTTTCGATTTGCATGTCGATTCGCATGTCGATTCGCATTTTCGATGCGCATTGTCGATTTGCATGTAGATTTGCATGTCGATTTGCATGTCGATTTGCATTGTCGATTTGCATGTCGATTCGCATGTCGATTTGCATGTAGATTTGCATGTCGATTTGCATTTCGATTTGCATGCCGATTTGCATAGCGATTTGCATTTCGGGACACCAGCGGGACACCGGCGGGACACCGCGGGGCCCCGGCCGCCCGGAAGGGAGTCATTTGGTCCGGCCGCGCCTCAGCCACACGGGACACCAGCGGGACACTGGCGGGACACCGCGGGGCCCCGGCCGCCCGGAAGGGAATCATTTGGTCCGGCCGCGCCTCAGCCACACGGGACACCAGCGGGACACCGGCGGGACACCGTGGGGCCCCGGCCGCCCAGAAGGGAATCATTTGGTCCGGCCGCGCCTCAGCCACAGAGGGACACTTTCCTCTCGCACGCCCACGCAGCTTCGCCTCGCCCGCACGCACGCCACGCACGAACACGAAACCGAAATCGATTTCCCGGTAAGGGGGCTCTCCGTTCCATTTCGATCTCACCCCCTCACCTCCGACCGCTTGAGGCCACTCATTCGAGGGGCCGTTCCCTGCGTTTCCACACGGATTTAGCGAATCAGTTTCAGGCGTATGTGTGTTGCCCCGTGGTTGTACACACCTAGGGTGGGAGGATAGGTTTAGGTGTCTTCCCACAGGCTCTTCTCAGCACGTTCTGGCGGAGCCCTGCCAGAACGTCCTTCCAGCAATGCGTCCTTCCAGCGATCAGTGCAAGCAAGGAGGATGCGAATGAGCGTTGCATTGCCGCATGGTGTAGCACGAGTGTCGTTCCTGTATTCCCCCCTCTCTGTTGCCTCCTGTCTCCGCTCGTGCATGATTCCTCGTTTGTCCACCCACCGCAGCCGTTGTCACGAAACCGGCATTTTCTTGATAAGTGCCCGTACGCTGATACAACAACGAGTGTTCTGCTTTCTGTTGCGTTGCCTTGAGATTGTTTATTCATCTCGGCATGGCTCTGACGACTCGGAGCACGGCGGCAGCGGCACTGACCAGCAGAATTCGCGCCCGTGCAGCCGCTGGGGCCAAAAAGGCCATTCCCGGGTGCTCGAGGTGGCTCCGCGGACTGCACAGTGCGAGCTTCGACGACAAGCTGGGAACGTTTGACCTCCGGCTGCACAGAGGGGCAGAGCCCTTGCAGGTGTCTGCCCTGGCGCTGCGGGATCTGTGTCAGTCCGAGATCTGCTGGGACCACCACAACCATCAGCGGAGGAGCCCCCGGGTGCCAGCTGGGGAACCTCCTGGGGTCGATTCGGTTTCGGCATTGGATGCCGGGCTGCAGGTCGTTTGGTCCGATGGTCATGTCTCCAACTATTCAACGTCGGAGCTCCAGCGCCTCCTCCGCCGCCCTGGCAGCGAGCTTCCCGAGCCCATCCTCTGGGACCGCAACACGCTGCCTGCACCGCCCGAGGTGCAGTTTGCCTCGCTCGCAGACGCCAGCGGCACGCAGACCTTTGCCAGACAGATCCACACCTACGGCTTCGCCGTTCTGCGTGGCGTCCCTCTGACCGAAGCCGCCACGGACGCCGTCGGCGAGCTGCTGGGGGCGAAGTGGTCCACGAGCATGTTTGGCACGAACTGGGAGGTCAAGATCGACGCAGACAGCAGGGACTCCGCCTACAGCACCGACGAGATTCTGCACCACACGGACGGCAACTACCTCCCGTACCGCGCTCCGATGCAGCTCTTCCACTGCTTCCAGCCTGGGGCCCCAGGCACGGGCATAAGCAGCTTCATCGACGGATTTGCATTGGCCTGTGAGCTGCGGCGGCGGAGCGAGAAGGCGTATGATAGTTTGACGAAGCAAACTCTGTCTTACCAGTACCAAGACTTGAAGCATGATATCTCCGCGGAGCATCCTGTGCTGCAGCTCAACTGCCGCGGGGATCTCGTCGCGATAAATTGGAACAACCACGACCGAGCCACGATGCCCGCAGACCCGGATCTGATCGAGGCAATGAGGCTTTGGGATACATTGCTTCAGGATGAGCGTTGGCACCTCGACTTTTCATTGCAGCGCGGTGATTTGCTCGTCTTCGACAACATGCGATTGTTGCACGCGCGCAAGGGGCGGCTTGATCCAGGTAGTCCCCGCCACTTCGTTGGCTTCTACTTGGATAATGGGATCGCAGGTGCGATCCACAAGCCACGTGCGCTGCTGTGGTCTGGGGATGGCACGGATACAGCAGACCTTCGCTCTGACACGAAGACACAGCCAGATGGTCCGATGTACACTGCCATGATCTCGGCCACTCTGGGCGATGACGTTGTGGGTGAGTGCGAGACAACGCGCGCAATGGAATCATATGTGTCTGAGTTGCTGGGAAAGGAGGCGGCCTTGCTCGTTAGCTCTGGCACGCAGGGCAACTTGCTTGCCACAGCTGCCCAGTGCCCGCGCGGCACGGAGATGATCCTGGGTGAAGAGTCTCACATGCACCTGTGGGAGGCAGGCGGCCCCTCTGTGCTCTTTGGTATAGCGCAACGAACAGTGCCAGTCGACGAGCTCGGGCAGCTGCCTATTCTAGCCCTGGAGGCATCGCTGGCGCTCTCGGACCCAGAGGACGACCACTGCTGCCGCACGCGGCTGGTTGTGACCGAGAACAGCCATGGTTGTCGGGGAGGTGCGGTACTCAGCCCAGCCTACATGAAAGAACTCGTCCACCTCTGCCGTGACCGCGGACTCCGCCTTCATGTTGACGGCGCCAGGCTGCTTAATGCCGCGGCGGCGGTTGCCGAGGCGAGCAGCTGTGACAAAGACCAGAAGGCCGCCGCTGTCGGTGGGCCCCTGGGGGAGGCCGCGCGCACGCTGCTGGACGGCGTGGACACGGTGAGCGTCTGCCTGAGCAAAGGCCTGGGCTGCCCAGGCGGCGCGGTCATTGCCGGCGACGCCGCGACCATCGCAGAGTGCAGGAGGCTGCGGAAGTTGGTCGGTGGCAGTGTGCGGCAGGCCTCCGGGCTGTTGGCTGCCGCAGGGCTGCACGCGATGCGCGAGCGGGACCTCTTCTCGGACCTGAGGCGGGACCACGCGCTGATGCGGCGACTGGTGAACGGGATCCAGCGCCTGCCAGGGGCCTCGGTGAACCTCTACGGCGGGACGAACATGGCTGTGGTCGGGCTCTCCCCCGTCGGGTCCTCCGCCACCGCGGACGACCGCGCCGCGCGCGTAGCCGCTCTCGCGAAGGCCTCCGGGCTTCGGGTCGGCAGCTACCTCGGGCAGGGGGGCTGGCGTTTTGTGACACATCGTGGCATTCAGGAGCACCATGTGGACGCCTTGGTGGAGGCGTTTGCAAGGGGCACCGCGTGATACCGACCCTGTTGGTTTAAGCCGGGTCAGGCAGCCTGGCCTGTTTTGTCGACGTCTAGTGCAAAACCGTGGCAGCATCCATGCCCAAATTATAGTGAGACGGGTGCAAATACTACTTCGAGCATGCGCGGGGTGTTCCCACCTCAAAACACAGCGCGAGTGGCGCGCGCAGCCCCGCGCCCCTCCAGGTCCCAGGGGGGACGGGAGCGTACTGAGCGCGCTCTTCTAGGCGGGTGGGGGAACGCGGGGTCTTTTGAGTTCATGGGTATTCGAGATATCTTGCCTTCTACGTGCTGATGTTTCCAGTCTCGTGGCTGCGCTTCTCAAGCCAGAGCCGGCCGTCTCTGGATGCAGCCTAATACGTAATGACCGCCCTCTGCTCCGCAGAGCACGAGCGCGCGTCCATGGCCCCCCTTCCTCGCCCTCCTCTCCCCCGTGTGACGTTTCAAGCTGATGTAGACGGTGCATCCTTCTTGTCGTTGCGGCGGTGTGGGCTCCCGCTTGAGGCTCCTGTGGTGTAGGGTCATGTCGAGGTTTGTTCCCCAAGCCCGTGTAGCCTCCTGCATAAGAGTTGCTACATCGCACCCCTCCAACGATACACTTTCTGCGGGAGTTCGTGCCGCCCCTTTTCCCGCTCCGGGGCCCCCACGCTGGACGGTCAGAGGATTGGATCGGCATTCGGGTCGCTGCGCCCTCTCCTTCCCATCAGACGCACTGTGTGGTGCAAGCTGTGTGGCAATATCTCTGTGGTGCGGGCACTCCGGTGCAAGCATGTTTTTTGCCCCCTCCGCGCGGGCCGCGCTCACGGACGGACACCAGGCGACACCTCGGCATGCTCCCCCCCCCAGCGCGGGGCGCCCACGGGGCGCCAGCATGGGCGCCCACCAGCCGGGCACCGACCGAAGCCCCAGCGCACCCCTCCAGTTCTTGGAGTAATGAAGGGGCCCCAGGACACACAAATAAATACACACAAATAAAACTGTTCCCCATGTTTTCCCATATGTTCTCTGATTTTGTCTTCTCCACCACTTCCCATAGTTTCCCATATTTTCTGGGAATTGACGATTAATTGTGTCTGTGTGTTTCTTTTCCTCCTGAAGCAAGCTGCGCAAGAACCCCGTAAGGGCAAGCTCTGTTTGGGGTTCTGATGTTCCAACCTGCTTGAGCCTTGCTCACCAGAAAGAATTTCGAGCACCAAGAAAGTACCGAAGCTGGAGGGTTTTCACGTGTCGGGCCCTGGGAGGCGATACTCCTTCGACATCGTTTCGATACTTTTCTGGATGCTCGACATTATTTCTTGGATGTGGTCATTGAGTACGATGGGAGCAACATAAGTTTGGGGAATGAGCCAATCCGTCCTTCATGCCCGTCCAGTCAGAAAGTTTGGACGTAGACCCTACGTCCTCGACGTAGCCCCCCCCTACGTCGTAGGGGGGGGCACAACCCAAAGGGCGCCGAGAAATTCCCAAGATGACATCCGTAGTTGACCCACTGGTCCAAGATGGCCCCCAAGATCGCGCGAACAAGTCCGAGTTGTATCGCAAGTGGCCTCCAGCGTCTTTCGTCGCTCAAAGCATACGGTAATTACACTGAGTGCGATGCGATTGACAGTTTTTGTTGGAGCAGCAGCTTGGTAGTCTGCAGTGTCTTTTGCTACTAGGTCCAGCCAGCGCTCGTGTTGCTTCACGCGTTGGATGAGCAGTGTCTGTAGATAGTGCAATCTGATCTGAAACATCTAATTTAGATTGTGTCATCCTTTCCCGCCCAGACCAGACCAGGGCTGATTATGGCGATTGTTGCAAACCGTTGAAATGACCACTAGGGCGCGGCCTCCTCCCCGCCCCCCATGGACGCGCGTCGTTGACGCGCGCAGTGTTTGTTCAGAGTCGTCTGAAACATTGGAAGGCAGCTCCGCGGACGCTCGATGCATACACAAATACCTGGAGGCGAGGGCCGTGCGCACCTCTTCCCTCCCCCCTTTCTTCCCTCCCCTCCCCCTCGCTTTGTCGGTCCCGCAGTCTCCGGGGGAGGTGGGAGGTCAGCTCCCCATCCTGTCTGGGGGTCGGGTCAGTATGTGTGCCGTTCGTGCCAAGGCATGTCAGGCTGCCATGCTGGCTTGGAAGGGAGGCCCACCTGCGGCCAGCCCTGTGAACTGATGCATCTCTTTACTTTCAGGAGCTCTTCGCTCCACCTTGCGTGCACATCCTTGGGCATTCGTCCAGATGAGTGCGCGCGAGGCGGTAGCGACTCTGGCGCGTGACCCCGCCAGTGCTTCTCGGACCTAAGGAGACCATCCCCTCCGATAAAAGAGAGGGGAGCAATAAGAGGGTGGAGAGGTCGAGAGGTGCTGAATTTAGTAGGAGAAGGCTTCGTGGAGAAGGGACATGAGACTTTCTCGAGCTGGTTCCGTTGCAAAGTGTTCGCCCTTGTTGTACAATTTTACTCGTCACCCAATGTTGCGTGGAATCAGGTTTGCTATTCAGGCCTATGTGAGCAGGGTGAACTAGGAGGAGGAAGACGATGAGGAACAGGAGAAACAGGAGAGGAAACGGAAGTGGAGAATGATGACAACGATGGGGGTTTTGGCGTCACCATCTCGACTTTGCCCCCACCGTGGTTCGAGGGGCTTCGTTGGAACGTCTGGCGCCTTTTGCCCCCTTCTCCCCCGTTCTTTCCACGTCTGCCCGCCTTACTCCTCTCAAGTCTCTCCTCCCTCCTCCCGTTCATCCTCCACATCGCGTTACTCGCCTTTCCCGTGGGGAATACGCAATCAGTTCTTATAGTGTATGTCTTTGCGAGTGCGGCGTACATGGCCCCGAGGCTCGAGACGGCCCCGCAACTTCGAAGAAGAGCCCAGGAGGGCCCCAAGCGGGCCCCAAGACCTTTGGGGGCAGCCCGAGCAGGAAGATCCCCAAGAGACCCCTACACGCCAAGCCAGCCCACTTCATATTCGATATCTCCCCACACCGGCCATGAACGGCTGGAAGGCCCCGCATAATTCAAGCAAGAGGAGGCCGTCAATAAGATAGAGTAACGAAAAGCGAGGACAACCGAGAGAGACAGGAGGGTTAACGAGGAAGGATGT